GAAAAGGGGAACCCTGTGTCCTAGGTTGGAGGGACCGGATTAGGGGGTTGAATAAACAGGATTCACAACGGGCTGACTGTTTTATCTGGACGCCCTGTGCCCGCCTCTTTAGAGCCAGGTTGCTGGCTTGTCGGCAGGGTGGTGTGGCCGTGCCTCTTGGAAGCTCATCTTGAAGCTCTCGTCTTCACGTCACCACAAAACCCTCCTGCAAATAAAATACATAACGCGCGCATCTCGCCTCAAACCGCCTACACGAGGTTGGTGGTGGAGGTTGCAGAGTTGGAGAAAACACCTGTTATTGTGTGCCCTTGTTGCGCGCTACTCACACGCACACACTTTTCGGGTTTATGTGATCGTATGTACTTTAAAGCGAGGGGTTGTGCTGTTGAGTACCTTTTTATGGCTGATTCGGTGGTGCTTTCAATCCCCTCCACAGGCACTACTTCCACAAGGTCTGTATCGATCCGTGGCTGCTGGAGCAGCGAAGTTGTCCAATGTGCAAACTGGACATTCTGCAGGCCTACGATTTTCGGCCAGACATGGCGTCGTGTCCGGCCTCGACGACTGGAGGCGACGACTCCAGCAGCCTGTCGCCGCCAGCTGCGGCTGCAACTTCGAGCGCGGTGGAGGTGGTGACGCAGGTGACCTCCTCCGACCTCGGCACCAGTCGCGTAGACGACGTAGCCGGTCCAGGCCCCAGTTGGAGTGCGGTGGTGTTGGAGGAGGTCGCGCTTCCCACGACGAGCCTGCCACCGCCGCCCCTGACATTGTCGTCGTCTGGTGATGTCGTGGTTGTTTCTTCCATTTCCAGTTCGGTAAGTTGGACATTGGTGTTCACGGTTTCTGTTGTGGCCTCACATCTACAACATTCTGCCGTGACTTTCTCCAGACGATGACAACTAACCAATCAGATTTGAGCACACTTGTTCTCAAACCAACCAATCAGAAAGCCACTTTACAGGGCGTAGCCAGCCGCCCTCAACGCTGGTGGCATTTTTTCGTTGGCTCGTCCATGAACAAAGATGACGCGGTTAGAAAAAAGATCGTTGCTATGGTTGTTTTTTATCCATCTGATGTGTTTGACTGTGTGACGGCGTTTTAAGTGGGTTATTTCTGTCTTGTGAAGCGTTGCTGTTTCGGACGGTTCGATGGACGTCGACATGCCAACAAGATCTCTAATTCTTGCATGAAATCAACCGCTCCAAACGAAAACCGGAGTTTTCATGGTCACAATTTGTCCGCTAAGTGACCTCAGTACAGGGTCATCAAACGCGTAAACATAACACTTGGCTGCGATCAGCACGAGTTAACCTCATGTCCTCACGAACTGCACGGGTCGTAGATCACGGTGTTAATTCTCAAGTTGTAAACACGAATTCTTGTTTCCGATCCATCTAGCTTCAAGTGTTGATGAATTTGGGAGTTGGAGTTTGTGGTCACCCCGGGAAACCCCGCCTACTCATAATTAATTAGTAGTAATTGCGTTTCAAACGACGACATTCATTTTAGTACCATGATTTGGGGAACCAGTTGCACGAAATGACACCCAGCCCCTCAGCAGCCTCCGATCGCGTTGATTGGCTTCGTGGGTTATTCAAGACCCAGGGAACGGCACCGCATCAGCGTCGGAACAAACGTGCCCGACAAGCCGACTCAGCAGATCCAAAGGGGAACGATGTGCACCCCTCGCGCGACCCCCTACTCACTCGAAGGGTGTCACACGAGGTGCCGGACGTCGTCGTTGCCACAACCCCCGATGCTAGACCCCTGCCCCAGTCCTCGGCTTCTTGAAAATGTGTTCCTCATTCGTCTGTTCCGTGTGAATCCCCCTCCCGCCCCTCAACCCCCTTCCCTGTCTTTCACGTGCATTTCACCCCTTTACGTGTACCTCGTCCTCACTTGTTCTTGCCTCGTGTAACAACACCATCATTTCCCTCGTCACCGCACGAGTGTTCTTGTCCGTCGCTCCACTTCTGATCGTGTTGCCCCTCTCCGCTACCTACCCATCACCAGTGACGCATTCACGTGTTACCGCGACCTCTTATTCACGCCTCCACACACACAATGCAATAAAACGAGTCATGTATCTACGTCTTGCCCTTGCAATCGTGACTCGTTTTGCTTGGATTGGCAGTTTCGGAGCGCTGCTTAATGATTGGTCGCGAGGACCTCAAGAGTGCGAACTCATTGGCTGGCGGTCCAATGCGCTGATTGGGCGTTTAGTTAAGTGGGCAAATTTCAAACCAATAGCGTTTCATACCGATTCCATGTTGGGAACCGACTGCGTAAACGTCTTTCAGACAAACTTTATGTCCTTGCGTACCAGAAAAATTGATTTTGGCGATCTAGAATTAAAATTGCATCAGGGCTGTCTTCAAGAGCTGCTCTTGCGTTTGACGAGCAAGCCCTCGAATTGACAATGCAAAAACAATAACTACAACCGGAGCTGTGGAAAACGCGTCAATGGCGTAAAGGCAGAGCAAAGTTAAAAAAAATAGTCACATAAAAGTGGAAAATGATCGCAGGGTTGCTAGTGGTGGCACAATCTCGGTCGTGATGACAATGACCTACAAAAAAGGGGAAAAAAGGTGCTGTGAGTTTGATGCTTCGAAATAATTTTGGGGTCTGGTTGCAGTCACAACCCACACCCGCAAATTCGACCAATCACAGGGGCTCACCCGAGCCTGTTTGCTGAGTTCGATTGAGGGTCTGACGTACTGTCCCAACAAGCGTTCCGTGGGATCGTTGCTGAAGCACTGCTCGACGTCCGTGAAGAGGATGGCGCACACGGCGTTCTGCAAGTTCGGAAACTCTTCTAGCAGATTGGAGAAGCCGCCTAAAGTGTGCAATCAAACAAAGAACTTGACCTTGAGCGGCGAAACAAACACCTGGCAACTACACTGCTTGAAAGCATCGCGCACAGAACGCACAAAGATTGCTTACCTGGTGTGGAAAAGTGCACATCATGCTGTGTTATTCCACGACACAAGCCACCAACGCATAGGTCCTTCTTTTGGACGTTCAAGATACACACTGGATCCCGTCTAGAACAGGAGTTAAAACGATTTTTCAGAAGTGGAAAAATCGTGGCAAGTCAACCGTACGACCTTGATCATGATTGTGCGCAGAAGCGACAAGAAGCAAGTGAGTTGAACCTGCTTCACCTCTATAAACAGTCTAACGATGACCCCTTGTTCAATAGCTGTCATGTCTCTAGATCAAGATCTGTGCATCCAACCGATGTTATGACGACGACGACGACAATTTGGAAGCGGGGCGAAATTGTATTGGATTCAGCAAAGACTGGAAGAACATCACGGAAATTGAAATGGACGAAACTCACGAAGCCGAGGCCAGTCTGTGGGCCTCCTCGAAACGCCGCGCCACGTCCTCTTTGCGTGCGCAGATCCACACGGCGAAGCAGTGCGGCGAGGAGATGGCGGCGCAGTTCGCTCGCACCAAACTGAGGACCGTCAAGAGGCCCAGCTGGGTCACCTGGGGCTCCTCTGCCTTCGACAACCGCAGGATGGCGTTGGTCTCGGAGTGGGCCAGCTCCACTAGGCGCGTTGGCTAAAGGCGAGGAAAAGCCTGCTATATACCTGTCCTGACAACAGCCAATCGAGATGATGGCATCTACACCTCATGGCGTTCCTTCAGCTTATCACAGGCTACGCTATACCGGTGGGTGTATGTCTATCGTGGACTGTTACTTCCCAAACTGCTGTCGGCGTAGTCCTTCAGCAGGGACTACACGATCGTACTGAGCCGCTATCGATCTTTTCTCGAAAGGCTCGTGGTGTCAGCAATTGTAGCGGGCCCCGGAGTTGAATCTGGCCCGACTACGCTACCCTGCTACCCGCGACGATGAGGCACTACCGTTTAATTCAGAACTCAGCCTAGCTGGTGTCGCGTGTGACGTTTGCGCGCGTGTGTGTTAACACCTCAGACGTGTGAAACAGTGTGAGAAATGAGCACACATGCACAACCTTACAATTCCTGGCATCAACCTTGAACAGGTGGCAAAGACGCCGTCTACTGCTCCCGGATTACGACAAATTTGTCTACATTTTGGTCCTAATCTGAAAGAACCGTCACTCCCCAATTAGCGACACCACAAGCCGAGCGTTCAAACGACGAATGCATAAAGAGAGTTTACCTTGATGCCAGTAAGCGCTAGGGACTCGATTAGGTAATTAAGGGTGGCGCTGAATTTGCGTTGGACAAGACGAGGTTCGGTGAGTTCAGTTTTGCAAACAGTGGCGCAGTCAGCCATTGCGGCGTTCCAGAGGTGAGCACGACCTTTGTTGTGGGCTGGCAGAGTTTGGATGGTCACGGGGACGTTGCATAGATCACAGAGTATCGAATTCTTTGGTGGTTGAGAAAGAAAAGAGGAAAAGAAAAGGAAAAGGCGCAACTGGCAGTACAATCGAAGATCGATTTTTAGGTGGATGTGCTCGGGGTACATGTTGACTCGATGTGAAATTGTGCAATTACCAGACTCGAGTGCGTTTGGTTGAAAAAAATTGGCGTATTCCCATGGGTTAAGCTCCGACAGTGGAAAAGACTACACGCCTTTTTAGAACTGTTTTAACCTGACTAGGGCGAAATTAAATGTGACTAAGGAGGAGGGATTTCAATCTGGGGCTACGTGGTGTGCATTTGACCAATCAAAAACACTTACCAGGCTCAGGTAATCAATACCGTCGGAAGAACTTCGCGATTTCGAAAGACAGCGGCTTTGATCAACTATACCGTAGAGTAGCGGGTCGCCCAGCTGAGGAGATAAAGTACATGATAGGAAGAATTCATCGCATTTGATAAAAGTTCATAAAAAAAAAATTGGTGTTGATGCAAGACGTTAATTAAGACGGTGTGGTAATTGGTGAAAGAACGCTACCCTTTCGGAAACAGCCACGGCCTTGCTCCGATGCCCCCTACCATTAACATGAGAATCGAATTGTTTGGAGTTCAGGCTAACTCGGCACGTGGCACAGTAGTATGGCGAGACACCATCTGACGGGGTCGCGCAGAAAGAGGACAGAGCAGTGGGCCCACGAACTAATGCTGACGAAGCAGGAAACGTGGAGTCAATGTAAGAATGGTCGCCACCCTCGACGACAAGGTCAACGAGGAGAGAAGACGGCGGAACATCCACATTACCACAACAACGTTCCCCATCAGCCTGTTAGAGATTGAAAAGCTTGATTTCATCATCTCAAGCAGAGGCCGTTGACTACGTGCGCTTGCCAAAAAGACATCAATGCATGGGGACACGAATCGTGTGATAGAGCATACCTGCTTAACAAGGAGTGAAATTTCGTCCGATCGATTTTTATGGCGTCTCCCAGTGACGTGAAGGTCGAAGTCGACTTGAGAGTTCAGCTGGACGTCGCAAGCGTGGCAGAAGTAGGGTCGTTTAGAGACGGTTTCAGGTGAAAGACTGGAAGGCTGAGAAGCAGGCGATGGCGCTTCAGTAGATGTAGTAGGTGACAGAGTCGAGGAGAACGAAGAACCCAAACAAGAGTCGGTGCTACCGTAGAACGTAGGTTCGCACACATGACTAAGCATTTCAGCAGGCAAACATTGTTTATTGCACGACACACACGTCATCAAGTCTTCATGTTCTACCACTGGTGAGGTTTGAAAGGGGACATAGTAGATGGCCAGCCTTTGTTCTGATTCGGAGAACGATTTACCACATTTTTTAATGTGCGACTTGCCACTCTGATGCGACCGCAACTGTTCAGCCGAGTTGCAGGTTAAGTTGCATATTTTACAGGCGAATTCGCCCGAAGCATCCATCTTGCCACCCTTAAAGAACAAAACGATAGGCATGAATAAGGTATTTTACAATTCCGTGCTGCAAATAAGCACATTTCGCAGAGTGCAAGGTGTACGACCTAACCGCGTAACTAAAACCAGATAAAAACCCCAGTTGCAACGATAAGCACCATCGATAGTCTGACAACAAGGTATGCCAGTTAAATATGCCTAATGGGTCAAGTAAAGAGGGTATTTTACGGCCTCACTTTGAGGCAGCAGACCATTTTGCCAAAGGATAGATACCGGGTATCGTCAATCAGCAACATGTCGCAAATGAGGCCAAAGATCGCAATCTTAAACAATTACGTTAAAGCAGTTGCAAGTATTCATTTGCTTTTTAAACCAGGAAAAAAGCGCCATTTTTAACGCAAATACCTAGCAATTTTGGGTGTCAGTGGGACAAAGACCCGATTGACTGACTTGATTGTGAATATGCAAGTCTCTATTTAAAAATTCGACAGTAATACCAGGAGCATTAGGGTTGAAGGTATCGTCCCAATGACGAGCTTTTGATAACAAACAAGATAGTCTAAAGTAATTCTCAGGAAGTTATACACCACTTTGACCGTCAGAATAGCTATAACAGGTTTTAGCACCATAGATTTAATATTGACTTTTTTGTGTCTGTTCTAAAAATTTCTCAATACTTGCATCGTGTAACATTTTATTATTACAATCTGGGCTACGCCATCAAGATCTCTGGACCATATATCGTCAAGAGGAATTGCGTCTCATAAAGCAATGATTCCACTCTACGAGTTTTATTAATAACAGAAAATAAACTTTTAGCACGCCAATGAAACCAGCCTATTCTACCTTACCTTATGACAACAGTTATTTAATAATACTAAAATCAAGGTTCACGAACCTGCAACCTTGAAGTGCCCAGACCACGGCCAGAACAGAGATTAAATTCAAATGATATCAACTAGAACCAAATTAGTAGAACACAGCATTTAAAATATTATTTACGATAATATACCTTTAATGTCACTTAAACTAGAAAATCATAAAGTAGTGTGTAAATGTTTTCACTATTTGCTTTTTATCAGTAACTTCTAAATTTATCAGTCTAGAGAGGCAAAAATAATTGAGCCACATTGACCTGTCTATATTGAAAGCCAATGTGGACCAGCTGCTTTATTTAGCAAACACAACTGTGCCTTAATTCCTAGTGCATATTTTTAAGCAGCTGTGCTTAGTACTAACTGTTACTATGACAATGCGTTGGAATTACGGTGCATACAGTCACTTGAGAAGTATTTCTCTGCAGCAATTGCACTTTAAGCGATATTACAAGTTAATACCACCAATTGTTGCCTTATCATATCTATCGACTGTCATTCAAAGTTCTTTTGATTCGTTTTATTACCGGGAAGTAATATTTGGAAAATCGTAGTAATTGCCTCGATTATTTACTTATACCCTTTTATTGAAAATGTTTAGATGTGAATCAATATTATAATAACGATCTCACCCTGCATAATTTAAGCCAATCCCTTAGTATAGTGTTTTGTTCTTAGTTTAAATTAGCGTTTTGACTATACGTAGGGTTCAGGAAATGAAGCAGATAAAACTTAGCGGCACACAAGTATTTGTTTCGATAAATTTTAATCCACTTAGCTTTATTTTTTGGATTCAGGGATATGCATTTTATTTAATGTTGCTTTAATATATTAATTTTGAAACTTAGTTGGTTGTGATGGGCCGGGAAAGAAAATATCGCCATTTGTGCCTAAATTGTGATAGTCTAACATGTCGGAAACAAAAACTAATACATCAGAAACAAACTGCTGGAAATGGAGACTGAACACACACAGATGCTGTGTATTTTGGTAGACGGACTATTCTAGAGTGATGCTGCTGAAGTCGTTATCGTAATTACCGTAATAATCGGCAGAGTTGACGTAGTGCAACCACACTTGACATCAACTCGAAACGTAAATTGAAGTTCTCGTCGCTTGATACCTTTCTGAATTTCATAATACAAACCCACCTAATAAGAAAGGTCGTTTACATTTAATGAAAATAATCTGCTAAAAACATTGATTTTGTGCCTTGACAACACCCAATTGTTCGTTGGATCAGGGCGCTAAAGAAACACATCATCAAAAAAGTGTCTTCAAATTGGTGTGCAGTTATAGAATTTTGCATTATGGTTTGTTGCAATCTTCCATTAACTCAACAAAATTCCTTAGTATCTGTTTGAAGAACATATATTACGAACATGACGATGCGTGTCTAAGAAATTTATGTTTTGGTATTAATATTTACAATCGTACTTTTTAAGTAAATGTTTAGTGGCCAAGGAAGAATCAATCACGCTACTGCTTTACCAATCTAGCATTATAATCATTAATTAAATGGTCTTTGTAATTAATTAGCCCATAATTTAGGCAGTTCTGCCGGCATGACAGGAACAAACATATTTAAGATTTTCAATCACTGGATACTAAGGCAAATGTCGTTATCTGTGTTCGTTTAAAGATTTTGCATTGTAAAATATATTCATTAATACCTATTGCTCCCTGTTTTTGAAACAAAAAAACTATGTTTTGATCGTTTTATGAATTAGAAATAATAAATAATGTATATGTTCCCAGCAAATAATAACCACATGAAATCATTAAACATGTTTTTTTGTTAATTAAATACCATGTTACAAAGAAACGTAGTCGCAACAGCCTTTTGATACGCAATGGTAAACTGCAAATTTTTTTAGCTCTGAATAGTTCAACCAGCTTCCAGGCTCTGAAGATTTTTTATCATAACGACAAATTTAATTTAAAACTATACATTGCAACGCCTAAAAATTTAGTTTGTACTTTGAGCTTTAGTTCATCGAAAATGTGACCAAATAAGCATGCGACAAATTTGCGAACTTAGGAGATATACAGCTATTCAATGAACTTGATTATTACCAAATAAAAAAATTTGATACAAACTGATTTGTTAAAGAATTTTTAAAAAGGCATAAGGAAAAGTCAAACTTTAGACATTCTTAATTGAAGAAATAGAATAGTTTTATTTGGAATTAAGATCGCAAAATTAAAGCGCAGCTGTGTGAAAATTCAAAATGTGATTTATATGCTATGCAATAATTTAAAAAAATTATAAACGCATGCTATATACTGTAATTTCACTTTCTGTTGTTCTGTGTAAACCATTTTTAGAATATCAATTTGTTTAAGATAACCGAAATGCTGGTAGCTTTCCCTTGAAGTAATCAGAGACGATTTCAACTGAGTCGGAACCACGGTGTTGAAAAGGAAATCATTGGTTGAACAGATCATTTACGTGAAAATAAATAAAGCTTTCAATCTTAAAATAATTATCAACTGATGTATTTTTAAATATACATTAGTATGATGCTGGTTTATAATTGTGGTCATTTTTCTGCTTAATTTTTTTGACGGTATTTTTTACCACGATCATGTGATTCATATTTGTTGAAACTCTTTAGCACGACTGCTCGAGTGATTTCCTGCTTGTTGCGGTCCAATAATATTATGCCCTCGAATAATTCAGGTTGAGCTTATTAAGCCCACCAAACAAAAAATCAAGTCTTTTCGTCTTCAAGAATAATTCGTTAGCGCCAAGCAACTATATTCTTTAAACCTTTTTTAATCTTGTTTCTTGATGTTAAGAAATTTAACAATGGAGCTCTTGTGTGATATTTATTTCATTATCTGCGTTCCCTTCGATTTGACATATTTTGCCAGGACATTTTCATGTCAGTAATATATAAATCAATGAAAATATCCTGACAAAAACAACATAAATAGGCATATTTAAATTTTTTAAGTAGTCGTACAAGTTGTTTTATATCAGTTAGTAATTTCCATGATTTCTCTTGAATGTGGCAGCATTTAATTCTCTCTTAGTTCATGATTGTGATCTGCTTTAACAAGACACAAAAGCAGTTCAATTTTATGTCAGCTAATAACCAGTCTTACTATTTTATTACTCTAGATATTTTTTTGCAGGTTCTTCTTTGTTCATCTTCAATTTTTATAGTAGCTCTTGGGAGTCATATTCATTCTACTAAACTGCTTTTTTATTTACAATTGACTATTGCGAACAATTTGATTAAGCTAGTTTTAATTTTTGAAGTGAACGAACAAGAAACTACAAATGGACAACTATATCTCAAATATTCGGAATGGTTAATCACCAAAAATGCCGAAGTTTCATGTGTCTCATTTATAGGGGTGATTGCACGTTTGTGCGTATTTATTGTGTTTTGTGATTTTTTTGGATAATTTTGCACTTATGTGTAGGTCTTGTTTTTTTTTGTCCTGACTATATTACAGAGTTTCAAACTTTATCTTCTTAACCTTTTAAGACACTAAACATATGCAAAAAGACTTTGATATTGTGGTTTTTGGTGCCACTGGATACACTGGGATGATTGTCTGCGAAGAACTTGCCCGTTATAGCAGAAAAAACTCCAACATTGCCTGGGCCGTTGCTGGAAGATCCGATTCAAACCTTCAAAAGACGCTGCATCAAATTTCCGAGCGAACAGGCCTTCCGCCTGTAAAGCAAATCTCCCGCATTGTGGCTACAGTAGAAAATCCAGAGTCATTGTTGGCAATGGCTGAAAGAGCCAAAGTGGTGATTAACTGCGTCGGACCGGTAGGCGCTTGTGTCATTAACCATAAAAAAAATCCTAGTTTTCGGTCAACGGCGAGGAAGTAGTTAAGGCGTGTCTGAAGGGTGGGGCTCACAGCTTAGACATATCATGTGAGAATCAGGTAGGTGTGCCTTCAACGACGCTCGATGTTCCAGTACTTAGAAAGTGTGCAATTGCGTTACGATGCCGAAGCCCGCAAAAAGGGACTTTTCGTGATTGGGTCTCTTGGATTTGACTCGGTCCCAACAGAGGTTGGAATTCAATATACGGTGGAAAAATTTCCAGGTGCTCTTAATGAAGTCGAAGCCTTCATTTATACCCCACCAATGGTAGATAAATGACGTGATTTTAATTTTGACATTAAAGCCATCTAAGAGTACGCTCAGTATGTTTGAGACAATGACTGCAGAGCTTTCAAATGCAAAGAATTTGGGAGAGTTGCGAAAGAGGCTTTTTCCTAGAGGTCTTCCAAAGCCACCGTCACTTCAAAAGCCAAGGTAGGTTGGTTTGTGACTGACAAATTGTATTGTGCAACATAATTTCGCCCTTAAGTTCAAAAGAATTTAGGACTGCATAATAAGAAATTAACAAAATTTGTACTCTTTTCGTAAATAAACCACATCTGGCAGGCTGGCAGTCCAACTTAATCAACACGCAGAGGTGCCAGTTGATTTTGCCATTTGTGTCTTTTGAAGGAGCAGACTTTTCTACGAAGACGCTGTATCTAGTTGGTGCATACCCTACGTGGGCTCTAATGAAGGCGTGGTTTTTCGCAGTCAACGGCGTTTGTACGAATCGAATCGCATTGATCAAGCGGTAAGTTTGGTACTTCAAGCACTTTGTATCCAAACCGAAGGATTCCGTTGAGATAAACGTCAATGGGCAATGTAATTTCTACATGATGACAGTTATACTGGAGGCAATATCATATTATCAATCATTGGGTTAGAGTACTACACTGCAATAAAGACTAATGATTGTAAAAATGTTGGAAACTGCAATATCTGGATCCGATAAATTATTGGTGAATCTCGGCTATCCACAGCAACAAAATTAGTACCAAGGTTGACCCTAACGCTGACGCTAGGTTCGTATGATACTTGCCCAAACTTCTCACAGGGCAAAAAATTTCTTAAATGCTTGAACGTATGTTGTCCAATTTGCTTGTCTGGGCCATGATGAAGTCGGATTAGAAATCGATTTTCGTGTTTTGTGTTTAATCACTGGTTCTGAACAGCTGAATCTTGCGCACTGAGTTGCGTTTTTAAAACAATGCACTCAAAAACGCAATGTCTAGCCTGTTTGATTCGAATTTTCCTTTTTTGCGTGTAGATTCAGTTCAGGTGCTACAGATGCGTGCCGAATTATCTGCTTGGATTGTTCCTCCTGATTTACGGTTTCATTATCGGTGTACTGTTGGAATTCGCCGTCACCAGAAAACTTCTGCTTAGGGTAAGTAACAGCACATGCGAAACCGGTTTCAAGTGATAATGATTGCCTTAAAAGTGACTAGGAGTTATTTGTTTTCACTTGTTCGACTTCCTAATGTTGTTTACATTAAAAACAACATTAAGTGTGTGCGCAGATAATCCAGAAAAAATATCAGAGAAAAAAATGTTGATTTCTTAAATATGTAGTTGAGATAAGCGTCTAAATTTCATTGGATGTTTGGGTACACACAGGCCGGACATGAACGAATCAAATTCAAGTTGTGATGGATTTAAGCCAATCCTGTCCAATAGCAACTAGAGGACTTAAACTTTGGCTCACCGAAGGAGCAGACCTTCGATAAAGCCGATTTCATGTCTTAAACAAGTCAGTCGTTGACACCTGAGTCTTTTCGATGTCGTTTTCATGTATTGACTTGTCAGAAGTACAAGTTGTTCTCCGCTGGCATGGTATCGAAGGAGGGCTCCCCGCGCGACCACCTCGAAACAACGTCATTCACAACCACCTTCTTGGGGCTGGGCTACGAGAAGTCGGAACGCGCAAAAACCGGTGAGCCTACGAAGTTCATTATCACCCGTCTTCGTGGACCAGGTAAGCCAATTAAAGCTGTAAGCTAACTACCCTCGTGAATTGAGGTCAGTGAGTAGAAAGGCGCGCCGTTTATTTTAGATCCCTATTTTATCACAACAGCCATTTGCGTCGTTCAAGCTGCCATCATTCTGCTCAGCAATGCGGATCGAATGCCCGACAAGTATGTTATTTGTCTGGTTTTTTCTGAACGACAAAATGTGCTGCTTGCTGGTTATTTTTCTTAGAAGCGTCCCATGTAAAGGTGCGAAATTATGCGCAATTGATCACACAATAGGACTCTTCTGGCACGCCACTAGTTGAATGCAATTTTACAGGCGATAGTAAAGAATTCACGTGACTTGACACAGACACACTTGATAATCGATTAGGCCTCCTCGATGCAGCGGAAATCAGAGTGACAAGAGTAGACAATGGCAGATTGAGTCATTTTATGAAAGTATTTGGGCTACCTGGTCAGATAATGAGTGAACTTAAAATTCTTAAAGCTGCCCCACGTCGCGGCAAACCTGGTTAACACAATCGAGAGTTTTACCACAACACGAGTTCTTCAAAGATTTCTTTAGACAGAGAATCTGCAGCTGCAAAAATGGCCTATGTAGAGGCATGCATGACACCACAAAATTCGACTTTGACCGGGTAAAATTCGTTTAGGAGCGGCGTCTTTTCACCAGGCGCTGCCTTCTGGAACACGGACTACATCCAGCGTCTCCGCGACCGCGGTCTGACGTTCGAAGTTGTCTCCAACGAAGGCGGCGACACGGAACAGAGACAGGACAAAGACAAGGAGACATGAGTAGAGGTGTTCCCCAACTCCAAGGCTTTGATGTTGCCTTTTCAGACGCTAATACAAATGCCAGTTTTCTGTGTACATTATGTTGAATTTTAATGCCATGTAACTCTGTCGGGGTGCTAACTCGCGTTTGGACACTCCGAGACTACAATTTTAGCGGAATTGGGGAGTGAACACGAGCTATGAGACCCACGACCAAGGAACAATAAATTCCGTTTGGACAGATTCCTCGATCTCAGAAATTTGTTTCATCGTTTGCCCTGACCGCGCTCTATCTCTCAGGCAACGCACGAATGTTGTCGTGAAAGAAACTCGCAGGAATTGTCGAGGCAATAAACTCATCGGCGGATCTACGCACATGATCGCCCCATTCCAAGTGCAAGAGGGTTTTCTGAGCCCAGCCTATTTTACGTACAAATAGCAAGAAACACTTCTACGCTACAAAGGCTCCCACGCATATTTTAGCCATTTTATCGTCTCACGCACACACAAACACGTCTGCTGCTGTGACAGGGAAGGCGATTGTAGACTTAAACCCGTCCCACTACAAAAAGACCAACTGGGTAATGGAGTAATAATTCTTGCTTTGTGTACAAAAATACGTCATTGTGTGCTACGCAAGGCGTCCATGCTTGCAGGTTAAGTCAAGTGTGACTTCAGTGGCGTCGTTCGACTCGTCCGAGTCGAGTGTGAAGGAGGCGCAGGTGGAGACGGTGGAGGCCTGCGAGAGTGCGCGTCCTCGCGCGCGGGACCCCCTCGTGCCCCGACTTCTGACGCCTCGCCCACGACCCCGCCCGCCTTTGCCACAGGTCGTGGTTCGTGAGGTCTGGCTGGCCAAAGCGGTTTTGGTGGAGGGAGCGTGGAATTCGTCGTCGCTGACATCGCTGATACAGTCAAGAAGGATTTGCTCCTCGGTTTTGACCTCAGCTTCGTCAGAAGACAGCGAGATGGCGTCGGGAGACTTCTGTGCCATCATTTCGACATCGACGGCGGTGGAAGTCTTTCCTTGCGACTGCTCGAACGCAGTTGGCGAAGCACTCTGAAGGGGTACCGGTGGTTAATTGCTGTGGCAAAATATTAAAAGCACTGCGAAAGGTCTCAGAAAACTGGTTGTAGAGGTGGAACTTTCTGAGAGGTCATGTGTGCCGATTGCCTTCTGTCAATTTTGGAGCATAAGGACCGTCGACGTACATTGCAGTCGCTTTAGTTACAGGTAACGAGAGAAAATTGAAGAGGCGGTTAAGGCATTCAAGTATTCTGCCCCACAAAACACATTGTTATAAAAAAAAGCAACGAACCGCGTATTAGGAACCACCGCAATTAGTTAAAACAAAGCCGTAAAAACCCACATTTTTGATTGGTTTGATGCTTTCCAGAGCAGGTGTTTCTAAAACCAAAAAAAAAGAAATAACACTCTAACAATGAAGGGGAACTTTTGCACTCTCACACAATATTGCCAGCTTTGATGCAGTGTTGGTGAGTTGCAGAACAATCGTTGGCTGGTGTGTCATTGTGTGTATTTAAAAATTACGAAGAAACAATTAGATGTAGTTGGAGACTAACTAGATCTGACGTAAGTACCCACAATGGTGCCAACAGAATGACAGTTCTACGGACGTAGGGAAGGATTTCTAAAAGCGGTGTGTCTTAAATATCGATTGTCCAACGCCTCCTAGTTACCTTTATGAATCACATCACAAAGACGGTAAATGGGATATCGATCTGGAGTCTGCAAGAGGAACACCTTAGATGAAACCGTCTGTTACTTAAGTCGGTAACAACTGAGCAGAACTCCGGCAAGTGGACGAGGTTGTGAGTCACAGGGCTCCCCAAATCAACGCACCTTCAACACTCCCAGCAGCCGCTTTTTTGCGACTTCGGGCAAAACGAACTACCTCCGACGAGATGCGGTCTGCGCCGCATCGATGTCGGTACAGGTGGCTTTGTGCTAGAGCGGTCACCTTGGCAACGACAGCGTCGATGCCGTCGCCATCACCCTTGGCAACGAACTGCCGCAGACCCGCGGCCAACTCGTCGTCGGTAAAGAGTTCCAGTCGGAGTTTGTCGTTGGTGGTGAGGATTCGGCTGACAACGGACTCCACGTCGGCCACGCTCAGACCGGGCCTCGTCGTGTGGTTCTGGCTGGAGTCGCCGGACTGGGTTATCGAAGCACGCTTAATGGAGGTGTCGCGCCTTGTGGTGAACGTGACCAAGTCCTGGAAGTGACGAGAGAAAGAGCTAGAAACTAACATGGGGGAGAGTCAACCCTGTAACAAACGGACTTTAGTGAGTTTTGAGTAGGTTGAAGGGAAATTTGCATTAACTAGCAGGATGACAAGCGTTTCCACAATTCGTGCGGACACATCTGATCGTGTACATGATACTTCCATCAACCGAATCGCATCGGTTGGGGGACTCTACTGCAGAGATCTTTATTATCCATGGAATTTGGTTTGAAGCTGGCGGAAAAAGAGCGAAACTGTAGGCAACCTCAGCTGTCACGAGCGACTTCCAGCGCATATAGGCCTTCCACGAGCTTCCATCTTTCATATCACGGGGTAAATTAGTTCCTCCTTAACAATGTTCAGCACTATATTTTCAATTTACGTCTCACTTCACCCCGGTTCCATTCTCAACTTTCAACTAGGTCGAAAAGCTTTATTTGTCTCACGGCAACGAGCAACCATTAAGAGTGACTTTTCTTACGATTAAGCCTCCAGACGTCCTGTTGGAAGTGGAGGTTGTATAGGCAGCCAAAAATCAAACGTCTTCCGATATCGCACAATGGCGCCAATTCGCCTTGTTTAATGGTATTCCCACTCAACCCCTACGATAGCCGCATAATGACCACACAAACTCCTACGGCAAACCTTTCAGAATGTCTATTGGAAGAGAAGGTTCGCCAACCGCTTCCAATAAAAGATGATCGCGGACTTGAAACAGACCGATTTATTATAGGTCAAAAGAAGAGGCGCACAAACCTTAGGGTTGGCCACACGGCCAACGAACTTCTGACCGAAGCGCAGCGAGCTGAATTTGCTAAAGCCACCGCTGACGTCGACACGTAGTCGAATAAGCGGCTCGGGAGGGGGCAGAAAACGCGGGGCTTCGCCGTCGGCGCAGACGGCCTCCTCGGACTTGACGCGCTGCCCGGCAACCTGCTTGAGTGCTGCCTCGATTCGAGCAGCACAAAACTCCTCCACCCGACGGTTCGCGTCGGAGGAGTTGACGTCGACGTCGGGCAGCTCGTCTTGCAGCACAATATCCTCAAAGATGAACGGACGCACGCTGCGCAGGGGGAGCTTTGTCAACTAAACGGGGAAAAATCATGTGTAATACGCGTTCCTGTTGTTTGATATTGGTTAACTGCAAACTAAAGCGAAAAGAGTCAAGTTGTCGTGGATGTTTAAAGCGAAAGGAAAGCAGATCTCGTCCGTAAATGCTAAGTGCTGCGAAAATCAGAAAACAAGTTTGATCGATGGATAAGCGACGGCAGAAGTGAGCAGAATCCATCCAAGTTTGATTTCTAAAAGGTTGTCGTGAATCCTGATTATTCAACCCCATAATCCGGTCGCTTAACCTCCTACACAGGGTGTCCTTTGTCGCAGCATGTCGCCAGCCGCGCAGATCCTCAACTCCTCCTTCATAAGCACGTATATTTATCTTAGAGCATCCCCACACCTAGGTCTCGATGTTAGCCCATGTATCACTCACACATCCTAGGTATAAATACACACGCAAAACCCCACACACGACACAACGACACCAACGTGGCTGAGCTCTGAAGTAAACGGTTGTGTCCACGTCCTCTCCGGTCTTTTTCTTCATCGCGTGTATCAGGGAAGCGTAATCGGGCCAGGGTTAATTCCGTGGCCCCGGTGTGGTTCAAGGCCACATGCTGGGGCCCACAACAAGGTCAACTGTACTTTCTAAAGATACTACTTAAAAGTTAGCAGTAGAATCTGGGAATAAGTGATGCGGATAAACGCTTGCTCATGCATAGAGAACAAAGAAACAACAAATCAACACAGCGATTTAAGTCAATAATGAGTCATTTGCAATGAGCCGGCCTCGGACGTAACTACTTACTCCACACCGTTCACACATTCTGGTTCAATTGTTGTAAGTTGCAAGCAGAAATGGGAATGCCGGATTGTCAGAAGTCTGTGTTAACTTACGTCAATTCACTTCTAAGGAATCGACCCAACAAATAAATGAAAACGAGTGAAAAATGATCGTAAAATGGTGGCATTTGAGTTTGAAGATTTAAAACCAAGAGGTATCGCTGAAAGCGATTTGCAAAAACGATCGAGCAAGAAACAGAGGTGGGACATGAATCGATTCCATAGAAATGTTGGATTAGGCTCATGCGATCAGTTGGTCATCACGAAAACACGCTATCTTTGGAAGCTCTGGAAGCTATGTGATACAAGATTTCCCACTTCTGATATATGCGTTAACCAGTTTAACCACTAGCTCCTACCAACACGGAAACACTTTCAGGCAATTGGGTTAATTAAAAGCACTAAAAATCTGAGGTGGTTTTGAGCAAACTCGATGCGAAATCATCTTCGAATCGAGCATTGATAGTAAGAGGTGCTGTGAGAAAGGGAACGCTACCGTACCCTGAACTGTAGCTCCCGTATCTCCAAGAGTCCAACAGCCTTAGTTATCGCCTCGCCAGGCTTGTTCAAGACCACACGCTACGGCCCGCAACAAGCCTGATTCAAACCAATCGAACTCGATCATGAACAGCGTGAAGACGAATTCGACGTCGAGATTTGATCGTGCAGTGGTCCACCGCAATGCCAATGCCAAATTAGCCAGAAACCCAGTTAAACGATGATTCTGGAGAGGACGTTGGTGATGGCGGTGGATGTGTGCGCGGAAACACGATTAAACAGCTGTTAGGGCGCGTTTGAAATACCGCGAGAACAGCAGAGGGTGATGAAGCCTCAGTCGATGAAACTCGATTGGAAAAGGCGACCTTGGTTGACTACACAGACACCGACTTCATCATAATTCAATCAAGACTCGTTCCGGAGCGTCCACAACTGGCGACTCCAACGTACGAAGCCCTCGTACAGTGAGAGCTGCCCCAAAAACACCTCACAAGGAATCGGAAATGGGGATCTATGTACTTTTGTAGTCATAGTGGGCTTTGCAGGGGTATGTAAAGCACGTCACGTGATGCTCGCAGCGCTGTGAGACTTGATTGGTCGAGAGAACTGATTGTACAGTGTCATCGGCCTTAGAACGCACGTCGTGTGACCAGACTTCCTCGCAGCGACAACACGGCCAACTGCACGCTTGTGTGGGCGAATTTAAACATTTTGAGAACAGCTGTGAGGAGCAGCCGATGATACTATTAAGATAACATGCACACACACAATACCAGTGTTGTTCACCAACGAGTAGACATTTGAGCCAATGAACACGCTGCAGACAGTGTGTACATTGTCAGGCATCAAATTCGCTCAAAGGAATACGACAATGAGGCGCGCATACAAGTGTTATCTGATCTGGCGTTGCTAGGAGCTCAGTTCACTTGGTAAACAAACTCGAAACGACGCTCTACCAGCGAGTCAGACTAGTAAAACAAGGGGGGCAGATTGTGAGAGGTAATGAACTAACTGCTATTCATCGTAGATACTGAAAACGTATCAAAAGTTGTTGACAATCGGCGACTCTGTTTACTCAAGTTGTCAGTGAAACCATGTTGAAGAAGGAGATGTTGCCAGAATACAGGTGAGGGTGAAGATTTTTCACACACACAAACACACGCAAGTAAGTAGTCGCGTCTCAAACTTCGACGATTAGTCGGCAGACGTGCACGGGCTTGGGTGTGTACGTGGCAGGAACGTGGGAAAGTGGCGCGCACACAGAGAGAGGAGGGCGGTAGTTTGACAGGAAACATTTCACTTGTAAACACACACGAACGGCCAATTAGTGTCCGTGTGGAGGTCCGGTGGGACGAAGGAGGAGCTGAACGGTTGCGTCGACAAGTTAAATCACCGCCGAACGGCACAAAACTCAATTAAAACAAACTCTTTGGGGGCCAAGAATATCCACTTGAGCAACTGGTGTTAGGTATGTCGGGATAAATCGATTCGTGTGTTCATATATTAATTATCTGGAAACTCAGCAATGCAAATAATCGGTCCCTTTTACACGGAGGCGAGAATAATTAATAATCAAATATTTGCGAGCTTTATTTGATAATTTGTACTAGGAAAATTCCGGTGTCCAAGAAATACTGAAATTCGTAATGAACAGCACTTCACAAACGTCCGACAATTTTGTGCAAGTTTAAGGGACAACCCTCTTGAATTTAAGCCGTTTAGAAAAACTGCATTTCTTGAAGCGAACCCTGCTAATCACATCCTTTCGTCAAAAAATTCCCCTTAAAAAATTTAACTTGATTTAGTCAAGTTACCGCGAACGCAACTCCTTTTGAGCGCGCTGACTGGTATCGATTTAACCAATCAGCTGTGAATTCGAAAGCACAGTCGCGTCTAATTCCACCGAGGATTCGACGAATTAGGCAAGGTACTGTATCTGCTGGCCAAATTTGACGGCGTTCTGTCAATTGTCCGGACACTTCGAGTGTTTTGTACGGCGCTTCGAGATATCATTAGTATAGCTCGGTGTCTGTTGTTTAAGTAAGTAGCACTAATAGTTATGTACGCAGAAGTACAACAATCATGCATTCGAATCAAGATGATGACGACGATTGCGGGAAACATCACGGCATCACACACTGCAAATTGTAAAGCAACCAATGTTTTTTCGAAGCGTTATAATGAATCAATGTCTACCAATTTGCTGTTTTCATGAACCTATGATATATAAAGATTCCGAACACTTTACACCACCGACACAGCTCAGAGCGGTAAATACTTTAAATAAACAATTTCAGGTACAGAAAATATGCCCGTGGAGGTTTACGGCGCTATCAAAATGCATCACGTGATGTTTTTAATGCCTTTTATTTCCTAATGTGACCGAAATGTCACAAAAACACGCACAAAAACGGCCACACAAAGGACGACCCTAACGAATTTGACATGGAAAATTTTTAGGGCTACAGGCCGTTAAAATGTAAGTGCAATACCGGACGCCATCAGGGACCCCCTGAAGGGTCTCTCCGATTGGTCAATTAATTGACCAACCAGATTAGTCGGACGACCATCTACTCACGCCGGCATATTGGAGGCACTGAAGCCCGTTACAATTTTTGTGCTGTTCGCATTAAAACGCCAATTTCGCTGTTTACTTTTTGTTTGAAACAAAGTTGCCTCGGCCGGTAACAGGAACAACCAGGCGAAAAGGGGATCGTGCGACCAAAAAGGCGTGATGTTGGCCTGCAAAGGGGCCAGTCCCTCTGCCCCTTGTTGGCAAGTTTGAACAGTCGAAATGCTACATTCCCACGCGGACGCCTAGTGAGCCATGCACTGATTGTGCGGTGCTGCTGCAGCAAACTTCCCAAGCCCAAAATTTCAGAACACAGCACGACAAGTCTACGTGAGCTACTTAACCTCCCACAACTGATAAATTGCGCATTCGACGGCACTGCATTTTATGCGAATTCCAACAGGCAAAAAGTACATCTAAAGCACGAGGGAATCAAGTCGTAGTACTCTTGGCGACAACGTCGTGTCTTGCGAAACGTGTAATTATTGATACAAACGTTTTTGAAACGGCGGTTTCGATCTCATTGACCGGACAATTTGAAGATGCGGAATCGCAGGCTCTACTGGATTAAAACTCAACGCAAACATAACAAGAGCTTGTAGCTCAGTTAGGAGTCAGCCAAACCGTTATTTCCAAACGTTTGGACAAAATGAGAAGAATCAAAAACTTGGAAGTCGGGTCCTATGCATGCTGTCCGACCACAACCTAGGTGGTAAACGCATGAACACATGCCTTTCGATGCGTGCCCGTTGGCAACAAAAAAGGATTTCATGCAGAAAATTGTGACGGGTGACGGAGAATCGTGGGTAGATCTAGGGCAGCCAAGTACATCGACGCCGAAACAGGACATGGAGGGTGTACTTTACTCCGAACGCCTGGAAGCTTGCCAGACGGTGACTGCAGAACGCTACGGCCGACAACTGAACAATCTGAGCGACGAATTTGATTAGAAAAGGCCTGACATTGAACAAGGAAGCAGGCAAGTCATACTGATGAATGACAACGCTCATAGATGACCCTCTTGAACTTGGAATGGGAAGTTCTCCCACGCGCAGCATATTCACCAGACTTGGCCTCATTCCACCGTCGTTTGTTCCGGCCAATGAAACAGCACGCCTTATTGAAAAAAAAACAGTTCCAAACACTGAACGGTGTGCGTAAATTTGTCGATGACTTTATTGTCCCGACGAGGTCTGCATAGTAATAATTTTTTTTACAAAATCTGCAATCGTCAAGTCCACAGGGATTAACCCCGAAAGCGATTAGCCCGGGGCTTGACCTCTGTGAGGTCGAGATCTGCAATTAGCCGATACGGTGTGTCCTGCGAAACCTATGACTCACCCAACCCTCATACTCGTTGGCGTGGCGTGTGACAGGGAGGTCAAACTTGCTCGTCGACGTTATTTGTTGACACTGAACCAACACGCCACTTGTAAAGCCCCGAAATTGAACTGCGTCACCATCAAGCCGCAATTGGAAACCAGCCATGCGACGGTAAGAAGTAGAAACTTCCACTGGAGATGAGAAGTGGTCACGAAAATAGCCGATCGCTCTTGTTGGTGCTGTGAAACCATCGCAAGCGAGTGTTCTGCGCACGACTTGGTGAACTGAACTCCGCTTTGATTGGATATTATTGGAATTGATTCGCAAAAGCCGATTGGTCAGTTTGTTGGGCCAATAAGACGTCAAAAAAGTGAGTAATGCTCAACCAAGGTCAGAACTTCTCGTATTATCGACATAAGTATGAGGGCGGTCAGGAATCGCATGCCCGCTTAAAAGCAGCTATTTTATTAGACGATAAAACCATCATGGAACAAGGGGCAGATTTGCACGCAATTTGGCAAAAAGAGGGCTAAATATAGCGTTACACCGTCACTGACTGCGAATAGCACTGAGAAAATACCATGCAAACGAGAAGCGCTTGCGAAACAAGCCGAGAAGGAGGTAATGTGTGTGCGTGAAACAAGCAGAAAAGACTAATGGGCGAAGTCACGTGGTGCGTGTCTTTTCTCATGAGAAAATTACCGCCGCACGAATTTATCTCAAAGACTTCGCCATTAACAGTTTGAGAAGCATCAACGCATCGTTCAGGCTTATGGAATTCTGAGAATTTTCCCAAGTAGCCATCCTTTAATTATTGTCTGCGTTCTAGTTATTAATAAGGGTCAAAAAAAATGCAAAGAAGTCGCGGAAAGTTGTTTAACTGAAGTGGCTATTTTGAATTTACAAAACGGGCACAACCGGACAAACCAAAAGACTGACAAGGAACCAAAATTTGGAAAAACAGTGAAACATCCCCATGTTAGACCTCAGTGCCAAATCTGTGGCCAAACAGCTGACTCATACAAGTCTCAGACACAATGAGGTACGGCGTGAGGGGTAGACACGAACATGTGGAGGCTTGGGAGCTGCTTGGAGACTCGACAGTGTATTAATTAGCCAGATCTGACTAATGACGCGGACACGGGTTGGCCCCATGGGGAGTTGGATACGACCTCGATAAATGTCTTACACACAGACACACACATACACCCTCACCATCAATTGAGGTCGCGCGGATCACCCAGAAGGATCTAAATTATCTGCATCATAAAAATGCGACGGTGAGTCAACACCGCCTGCCTGCCAGTAGTCAGGGAAAAGGACAGTTTATCTAAGGAAATGCAGAAAACGGGAGTCGTTTCAGGATCGCGGATCCTGATTGGCCGTTGTCGAGATTGGGTAGCACAGTCAACCACTGGTCAGAGTCGATGCGGATTGTGCTTCCCATAGTGAGAACCAATTACCTGGCGCGTTTGAAGATTGCCTCGTGCAATGGAGGCCGGAGCACAGGGTAAGTCCACGCACACAGACGATTCAGGTGACGCGGAGAAAGAAGGTGCCCTTCGCCGTCCTCTTTATCGAACAAAAAGCGCCAACAGCGCGTCAGCTTCGAGTTCACCAGCGCTTAATGGCGGAGGTGTTGAAAAAGAGGACAAGGGAAGCCGCCATGATTAATTGCGATGGCGCTGACATTCACGGGAAGGGCACGTTCACGTGAAATTAACTCTCAGACCGACTGCAATCGAATGCCATCAGGCGCAACTTGACAAAATCTGGCACCAAATTATTGATCAAAAGTGGAAACTCCCTCGGAAATTGACGATTGATTTAACTAACTCACCGAAGGACGAACCTGGACGAGACTTTGAAGGATTGGACGGTTTTGACAGCCACACCTGATTGGATGCTAGCTACGGTAACGGATCTAAGATGCTTCCACGTCAATTAGGAGGAGTAGCAGATTATGTATTTATGAAAATTCGACTAAAACTTATTTGCCATTTGAAACTGGTCGGGAGTTAAGCAGACAGGCATGAATTTTTGGTAGGATTAAATTAAGACGCGACACGAATTTGTCTGTTAAACAAAACTCAATTTAAGACTGAGGTACGGCGAGACAGTCGAGCGGTAGCCACATTATTCAACAGGCTCATTTAAACAAGCTTGTCTAGACACCGTGAGAGGAAGGCGAGCGTGTCTGCACTTCTCACCAGAAGGCGCGCGAAAAATTCAACTCCAGCCTCCCGTGTAGACGAAGAAATGGTCGTGCGCTTGACCTTTAGTAAATGCTTAAAGTTAATCGGCCGCCTGATGGCGGCAATTTTAAGTTTACCTAGTGGATGCGGCCATGGGAAACCAGTTGTCTCGAAATATGATTGGTTAACTGCGGGGCGAAATACGACATTGCCATCCAAGTGACTAAATTACCATTCAACCTGAACGTACATCTCCTTGGAAAATCGTACCAATTTACTGTCCCTTAAGGCTACACCAATAGGCGAAATTTAGCACATTAAAACACGAAAGTTAACCAATAGGATTCCCGGAAAATGCAGTTCGTTGGGCTTAATTAAGGCGGGATTCATTTTGATGAAAAACATAGATGGAATGAAAGCATCGAAGACATTTCAGGCCGGCCACAGCTGAATGCGTTGTTGCCATTTGGGATTGTAAATTTAAAAAGCGTGAAAACTCGACTGATTTTCAAACGACTTTGGCCGAGAGTATCTACTAAAGAAATATTGATGACTGCAACGACAGGGGCTTTTGTTTGACGCGAAAGAAAGATCTGTTTATTTCACGAGGTCGCTGTTATCGGTCGCATGGTGAATACACTTCTGCTTTTTATTCAAGCAAAGGAATTAGCGTTAGATCGGCGGAAAAGAAGTCGCCGCTGAGCCAATGACGTAATCCGTTCCTGCAGCCCGAATAATGTTGACTGAGTAGATAAATTTCAGTCAATAGACGACTGGCACACGCGGACAGAAATGAAAATTTTGGTCCCCTGCGTCGGAAGATGACTCCTCGCGCATTTTAAGCGACAACAAAAGACAACTTTTTGTGCGAAATCAATTGTCAGCTTCCTGTCTACTGCCGAAATTTCGATGTACACAAAATTGTGCCCACAGGAGGTGTCCAAAGGTGAAGTGTGCAATAGCACGGCTGCGCACAAAAGGTTGCCATTTTGAGACAAACTTGGGTTTGGTGTGAAAATTTAACCCAACACCAACATCCGCACCCACACAACTCGACTATTGGGCATCAGGACACCTCAACCAACACATCGCTTGACTGCACACCAGGAGGAAGAATCGTTCTGACGAGTCAGATGCGTAGTTTCCGACGCGGCGGAATGGGACCAGCATATTTTTAATCGGTGAATCTAGCGTCTGATGTAGGGGCCTATTAACAACGAAATAAGCATAACCTAAGCCACACGGTCGTGACTAATCAGTCACCGAATTGTGAGATTCAATCGTCAGTGTCCATTCGCGATTCCATCTGATGATGTTGTCAAGGCGTCTGAGAACAGCTTCAACAAATTGTGGACACATACAGGGTGAATGAAGGACTAAAATGCCATAGCTACGAAGTCTCAATGAGCGTGATGAGAAGCGATAGCTGTCTGCAATGAACACACAACGAATATCGCGTCAGAGTCGAGTGGACTTGTGACTTTTTCATCAGCTGACTGCTACATGAAGGGGATTTTAGGCTTTCCTGCACAAACATCTTGAAAAAAACCCGGCGTCTAACGCTTAAAGTGGCCACATCATTGAGTTGGCTTTGTGTCATCGCCACATTTTCACGCAAATTGATGTAGTTAAGCAGTGGACTACCATCCGCCGGGGTGATTCAGCGAGTTTGACGGATGGCTACCTCTCATTTGCATACGCCTCGTTTACCGAAGGACGCTTGCAACGGAAAGCTACGCCAGTGTACTGTTCAGATCAAGTCGGAACAAAGAGAATTTAAGAAGAAAGGAAAATCACTCGTTCACACACACGTCAACTTCAAGTCCCGCACATAACACACCTGATCCGACAGCAGTCAGTCGACTTTGCAAACTCCAAACTTGATTACTTCGGGAACAATTAAAACAACAATAAGCGGAAATTTCAAGACATCCGTAGTTAAGTGCAGCCTCGGACGCTAAAACGATGATTGGACAAGGAGTAAGTGGCAGCAATTAAGGTAAAGTTCAAATTTGTTATTTTAAATCACCTTGACGACAGTTCGTGCGTCACTTATGAGGTGCAATCGGTTGAAAATGCAGATGTACGTCTGTTAATTGACTTTGCAAGAACCACTACGGCCGAAAAAAAGACAAATTTTGTCGTTGATTCGTTGTCCCCAAATTAAATTTAGGTGCAACAAGACTTCTACTGCATTTTGATGAAGTGAAAGGACAGGCGAAACGATTGATGACAAATCGTTAGAGAAAAGACGTCTGCAGTGGAGACGTCTGTTGGTGGATTTGAGTTAAACACAACAACAGCAGCAGGCAGTGAGCGAGCTGATTATACTCAGTGGGACATCTGTAATTTGTGCTGATAAGTAGCTGACGAGAACAACAGCACACAAACACATCTAGTTCTTAGAAAAGCGTCAATCTTCTGAAAAAAAACGAGTTTGAACGAAAACCAGGCTGCGAAATCTCGAATAGATATCGGTAACTACTGCAAATCGAATCAGAAGGTTCTGATTGGTCAGCCTCCGTCGTTTTAACCAATCAAAGGTTTGATCGATATCAAGGTCGATAAAGTATCAATTAAACCAAAAATGAAGGGAAAAAATGCTATCTTCTTAAGGAATTATAAAAAATATCGACTTATAAGGCCATCAGAGACAGCAGACCGACATATTCGAAGTTATGACATACTAATGGAAGGCAAAAAATTGCCGACGAAAAACCAACCAATACGATAAAGCCCCGCGGAATTAACGTTAACGGCGTGTTGTTGAGAAAAAAGGAGAAATGTTTAAGTGAAACAGTTAAGTTCTAACTGCGCTGTAATTGTAACACAAGACCACACAGGCAGACACAGACTAGCGGGTGGCCTTGAACGACTAACAAACCAATGACCACTCTGCTCTCTAGGGAGCGCAGTAAAGTTGGATTACAGCAATACCATCCACGGGTAGTTCCACATACGAAGACGGAAGTGGAAAGAGAACTTGCCTGCAAGGCAGGATTCGGATGTTGTCGAAGGGTCGATAGGGTTCAATGCAGATAGCACAGTGTTCTCCGTTGATGCCGATTTCCTGAAAGGAAGACACGTCTGCTATCAAACTTTGGGCACATTTGCAAGCAGTAAATGAACCCGAAGACATCTTTCCTTTTACAAAAAACCTCCCAACATGAGAAAGAAACACGCCCAGGGTGTGTTTTTGCCTAAAAACCGGACGTAACAGTAGTGTGGGAACTTAACTGTGACACATCGACTGACGCGCCCACCTAACGGCCAATTACGAGCTACACAGCTAAGTGCACATCGACGGAGACAATTAAGCAAGGCAGGAACTGGGCGTTAGCTTGAGTCAGTAATGCCTGCCCCAGTAATCCTCGACAATGTTTCTCTTCCCGAAACTATATATCAAAGTTCTCGGCGAGATTAGAAGCATGTTTAAATATTGATGAGTTGCGGTTCAATTGAAATTAACCAATCAATTGAACCAAATAGGCAAAGTCGCTAGCTGATTTGTGGGTTTTGCAATGATAAGAGGTGGTGGAATTGCTTGTCCAGCATAAAAACCTTTTAATAAAAGGCACGGACTGAGTCTCTGTTAAGGCGAACGGGCTGGCGCTTTTTGAGAGTTTGATGTGCCTTTTCAACACACTCACGCAGGCCAATGAGAGGCCAGTGTTTTTGGTGTGAGCGCCACAATGCCGTGATTGTTTGGTTTGTACGGCATTTAAGAAAGGCGCCTAACTCAACCGGCTGCCTCAACCACTACCACCAGGCGAATGCACAGCTGCGTTCGATGAGGCATAAAAATAGACACAAAGACAGATGGAACAAGCGTGATTGGCCTGGGTTTTTTTGCTGAGAAGAGAGCGAGAGAGGGAGGCAGACAACGCACCTTGTCGCCGGCTTGGAGCAGTTTTAAGGGAATTCTTGCGACGGCCTTGCGCGCTAGTTCAGCTAGGCGACGCTAAAATGAAAAAGAAAAGAAGGGAAGCAATTTTGCGGGTTGTACGGGTAGATAACACAGTTAGGCAACAAAACGACGTTCAAGTAACGCCTCAAAGACGACCCCATCTGCTACAGTGTAACCTCTGTCAACGGAATGACTGGGTTCGAACTCTGAACATTAACGAACCAAGACGAAAAATGCCAGTTCCTTTGTTAGTTGCCATGCCAACTCACAAGGCACCAAGCCACTGCAGAAGGATACAACGACGACAGTGGCGAGGTGGACAATCTTGAAATGACTCAAGAGCAGCCTTTTCAGGAAAAAAAACTAAGTTTAGGAAAAAAACTGAGCCACCAACTACTACTTCAACACACTGAAATCGCCCTTCGTCGATGTGGGTTTAATTAAGGGTCGAACACGGTTCCCAAAGGGATAATTTTAATGACGCAATCTGAGAACGCATTCACCAGGGTACGATATTCACTAATATCAACCGTGAAGTCTGATTTTAATTCGTGTTATCAAAATTTTACATGGATTGATTTGAAATTGAAAAAAAATGTCATTAATTCATACCACCGCAATGACAAATATCGCTTCAGGTATAGAGGTTTGAAATCGACCCTAGCATTTCACAGACATCCCAGTGGAAAAGTAAAAGATGTCAAAAGAAATTAACCTTTACAAATTCCGCCTGTCAAAGGTTTTCCACCAATGGGATTCATCGTTTTCACGCAAGCGACTCAAATTTACATAATCACTTGGGAGAGCTTCAATGAGTTTGATTTAACTAAGAACGACTGAAGGAACGTGTGACATGACACTGAACGCACCATTTTGCATGGTTGTCTTTGGCGTACAAACATCTGCCAAATGAATTGCGCATTCCCGAACATCGCGTCACATTTGTTTTAACTCATAGCATGACCTTAGAATAAGCGTTCCTATTGGTCATCTAAATTTACCGTCATTTCGATCAATTAAAACATTTAAAAGGGACTTTATAAGCAACTACACTAAAGAAAATTTCACGGTAAAACTACAAATCAACCGATATCACCTTTGCAAGCAAAACATTACGAGAAATCAATCTGAGATTACAAGAAGGCAACGAGAACAGACAATAGCAACAACGCTGATCATTGGCCCAGCACGAATTAGAAATTGCCTCGCATGAATTGGACCGCAGTAAAAGCAGGAGAAGAACGGCCAATCGGCGAAGAGGACTAGGGCGATAAATTTGCACTTAGTCTAACATTTTGCATAAACGCCAGGCAGCCAAATCTGCTGGGAGCCTCCAACAAGCCCTAACTGTGTTATTTGGAATTTCGACAAGGAAACGTGCCGAAAAATTTTCGCGTGCAAAAGCAAAAAAAACGGCTAGACATGCTGGGCTTGAGTCACGCAAATATTTTGCCCAAGAAATGGGGGAATAAAAGTCTTTGTCTCGTTTAGACGTCTTCACAGAGGTCCAGAACGAAGTCCTAGCAGACTACAGTCATCAAGATGAAATTGTAAAAGAGTTGGACGGACGAATGGAAAAAAAAGTTGAAAACACGAAAAGCGAAGGGAGTCGGCTAGGAGTGGAAATGATTGATGGTCATTGGAGCCGTTTACATCGAGGACGTGAGTGAATGCTGCTGTGCACGGAATTGGTGGATTGAAGGTCGTTGCTAACTGGTCGACAAATTGTTCCTTTAGAGATGCAGTCCCTACCTACAGAATTATCTGATACCTGTTCATTTGGAAATGATAGACGGGGGTTCTAGCCTGTTCACTATTAATCCACATACTGTTCAGGGCACGGGCTTGGAAAAACAGCAATTCTCTACGATTCTGGAAAACAAGCAGTGCTGATTGGTCGACAAATTGTCTCTTTCCAGAAAACAGGCTCCATTCTGCACATTCTCCCAGATTGGTCTGATATCTAATTGTTTGTGCCAATATCAGTTAAGCAAGACCGGCTTCAACATGGCATCGACACTGGCAAGAAATGCCGCACACGTCGCAGATGGTAAAACGGAATAATTAATGGCTGGAGGGAAGCAGACGGGGGCGGAGTGGGGGGGGGCTTGATTAAAACGTGGAGGGTGACAAATCAAACCGCTCGAATCGCCAGTCGCACCGGAAGACACTGAATGCGTTTGAATTAAAATTGCATTTATCTCCCTTCCAGTATTCGCGTAATGTGATTGGTTCAATTTTCCATGAAAAAAATTAGTTTTTTTCGTGGCAAATTCAGCTAGCCTAAAGTGTTTTCTAACATTGAGGCCGAGGACAAAACGCGCTTGATGTCCACCTAACGTGGGCGCAGATCAGTTTGGGAAAGGCAGAACAAGGGAAGGTGAAGTCCACGTTTTACAGCTACGACGAAACAGACTAAATTCCACAAGACTTTGTTGTTAGTAAGGCAAACCAGATAAAACAGCCTTACCGAGGCTCGCTCCTTACTGTGCAGATATCGGAAACGCTGAACGTAGTAGAACACGAGCCAGGCCAGACTGATGAACATGAGGAGGATGAAGGAGACGGCGACAAAGAGGACAGAGGAACGATTGAGAAAGGCGTCTTCCACGTTCATCACACCACCGTTACCGCCCACCACGCTGTCTACGCGAGTAGCCGTCGGTAACGACTGATTACTGTTGGGCTCCAGTGGCGAAACGCCGTCACGATGACGCGAAAAGGGCGGTAGAGGGGAGGAGGAGGAAGAGGAAAGAAGGAGTTTCTTTGGGGGCAACGGCTGGGCCTTCGTTGTTTGCTGCACCCAAACCCTAAAGGTAGATGTGTTTTCGGGTGGCTGGGAGAAGCTAACTGTACACGGGGAGGGGGGATTGTCGGAGCACTTTCGAATCGATTCTGGTGCAGATGCCCGGGGCAGCAAAAATGCATGTAGGTGCGAAGACCGATGATCTACAAGGGACATTTCAAAATTGTATCAAGTTCTGCGACGACAAACTAGCATTTAACAGGGGTACTGTGAATTCCCACACAGTAAATTGACAATTCTTGCGAAAAGTATTAATAATTATCGTGAAATATGACGACTAGAATCAACAGAAAAGGAACTAAACGGTCTTGACACGTAAACCACGAGCCCAGTCGGCGAAATCAAGATTATTTCAACGAATTGGTTGACGGCAAAGCGGAAAATTAGTGAATTGATCAAAAAATATGTCCCAACTCGTCAAATAATGAGGAAGCGTGATGAGAAAGTAGTTATTATACAAGGTCTAGACAAACGCGCTTTTACAACACTTTCGAGCAACAAAATTAAATGAACAAGGTTAAAAACGTCCTCGCAAACGTCGCCAAAAAGTATTTTTATCTTAGAAACATTGTGATAGACATAAATAAAAAATGGGGCCAGTTTTTAGTTTTCAGTTCGAATACTGAATTTGAAAAAAAAACAACGATGGCCTGGTCCACTCCTTGGATGCTGCACTATGCATTAGCTTTAGGTTCCACTAATGTTCTACCATGTAAAATGCCAACTACGTTCCTAAAATGGTTTGGCCAAAGAGAGGGATCAAGCATCGATGGTAATGTGGCCCAAGCGAAAAAGCAATTCATCAAAGACGATACCAAGGAAAATAATTTGAGCTGCATACTGTCTCGACATACCAGTTGCGCTTAAGATTGAAAATTTTCGTGAATTTTGGAGAAATACTTAGCTTCAAGTTCTAATCGTCACACTAAGTATTATGACTCAAACTTAAAAAATGAATAAAGACCTAACCCGACATCGATTCATGGAAATGAAATAAATTGGTGTGATCTAACTTATCATATTGACACAAAAGTGTAATTTAACCTTAGACAACGAATTATCTGGAGTGACGAAAAAGATGAGACTAGGTTTTCAGTACCAAAAGCCAATAAAACTATAAGATTGCCGTAAGTGCATGCATTTGATGACAAGGAAGAGCAGAAATGAACAGTTCGAGAATACATACTTACCAGTATCGTTGGCAACGCCACCCATGACAGGAGCGCTTAGGAGTTCATCAGTATAAAATAGGACACCTCGTAGGAAAGTTTCATTGAATGAACGTGCTGATTGCAGGGTAGTCAAAATAACATCAACAGAAGAACAGTCGTTCCACAGATCGATCAGGGCAAACCAAAAGTTGTCGCGAGAAGGTAATCCATTTAGCGTACATTGCAAATTATTAAAGAACGTAGCACCGATGTAAATTAATTCACCCGACAGCTGTTTTGATGCTGAAGGGATCCGCGAAAAATCCGGCACAAAGTCATGGGTGCTAGAGTAGGGTCTGAACAGAAGCTGGGTGCTATTATTAAGTAGCAATTGTACTGACTGTATCACAGGATTCAATGTGCTCGTAGACCCACGAGATCGATTGACCACATTAGGTAACTGCGGTCTGCATAAGGACAACACGACCGTCAAGATAAGGTATAAAATAATTTGGAAATTATTATATTTTTGAAGTGACAGATAAAGCATGCCCATGACTGTTGGTAGTCAAAAACTGTTCAAGCACTGCCAAAAAATAAAAAAAGTTCTCATACAGATACAACAAAACTATCAACAATTAAGTACGGCATACGAATGCTGTTACACCGCCAAAAAGAAATTGTCGGCCATCACACGGTCATGCACCGCGGCTGTTTTCTGAACCAGTAAAACAAATGACACTCATTCGAAAATACAGATGTAAAATATTGTCAAGCATGACAATTAAAGGCAATAAAGTAAACAAATGTTTTTATATTACAAAAAACGCGTCGTAAAAGTATAAAAACCACCACAATAGCAAAATGCACCAAATTAGCTATCAAATATTTGAAATGATTGTGCTATTAAAAAATTCAAAGTCTTTCAGGAAGCAATCTTAACTAAAATTCGCCTTATGTTTAAAAAATTTATGTGTTTTTTTGTTGGCAACTTTCATATGGATGAATATTACTTTAGACATAAGTTTAATACTCATGAATTTCATCAGAGATAATATTTTTTTGTGTAACAGGAAAAATGGAAACTTGATTTAGGAAAAGAGAATTAATTCGTGCAAAAGATATATAATTTTTTTCAGATTCTTATTATTTTTGACTGGCATCAATGAATGGTTGGACCTGTTTCTGCCTGTATATTTAATTTTAATTGTGAAGCTTGATCTGATAGGTACTAGATCATTTAATATATGATGTAGGAAAAATGTTGTTTTTGTGTGTATAATGTTTGCAAAACCTAAATGCCTGAACATTATGTATTACTATTTATTGCACACGGTCTCTTCACGTTTTTGATTTCTATCTGCACGTTTTTTTTCTCCTGGCCTAAAACTTGAGAAATTGTTGCCGTAACAATTTTTATTCGATACTTAATGTAATCTACAATTGCATCTTTGGTGACACAGAAAGCAAATTCACCTGACAGTTTCTAATTTTCTTCAACAAGATGGCAATATTTTGCATACAGAAATTAATAAGGCACAATGCACTTTAATTTCTACTGTGTCGGTAAATTCTCGTAATTTTTCAAGGTCACACAAAAATGTATACTGTAATTGCCGCCCGTATACTCTACTGCCGGGTGGACATTTACATCTGGCTTAATATTTTTGCTAATTTTGGTGCCCAGTTCCTTGATGCAAAGATATTCAGATAAAATGCCAGAGGATCCTTATGCAAACATTGATCTTCGCATTACGGAAAATATTTCATCATTTTTGAAGTGCGCCAATTCATGTAATAATGTTGCACCCCATTTGAAGTCCAAGTTACAAAAAATCTCTGAATCCACTACAACGGTAAAGTTCTTATGGATAAAAGAGTTACACGAACATATGGTAGGCATGGGCGTATCCGGCCTCATGCCCTTGTGGAAACTTGTCATGACGTCTGAGATTGTTTTTCCTCCCCCCAATATCCCACCACGAAACATTATTGTGCAGCAAAGGGTCGAGAGGCTTAGTGAGAAGTTTGCCAACATGGAGTACAGTCGTATGACCGCCGGCCTTCCTTCGTTGGGATCATTCACCAGGAAGACGACTTCCGGATTCTCCGACCTTCGGTGCATGAATCGTCAATTTCTTATGGTCATCAACTTTGTGCTCGTTGTTGCGGGGTCATTTGTATTTGGGTATTTCTTAAGTGATATTTTTGGTCAAAGCCACGCGACACCAGCCCAACGTGTCGTCTGCGGTTTCAGCCTTGCTCTTATTGTATTCTTTGCTGATTTATACTTTCTTCTGAAGAATGTGGACGCCTGTGATGACACCCAAGCTTTGCTAAGTAACAAACGGCTGACCTGAGATATTTTCCATTTAGTATTGTACCTATTGTTACTAAATTTGCATAAAGTTATAACAGCTATGTTGTTTTAGTGTAAAACAGATGAGGAAAGTATCTTCTTAAGGCCACATCTACCGCCCTTTATAGGACAGCCACGTCTAAGCATGATGTTCTTAAAATTACTTCACCTCAGACGGTCGTTTCTAGGTTCAGGAAAAGCGCTGATGAGCGAAGCTTTTGGCTTTAGTTCACAAACTCGCAGAAAAAAGTAACAGTAATGAATACTTTTAAGAAGACGAATGGAATTTCTTACGTCTATTTCCATCGAAAATGACTGAGGTAACTAAATAGCACAAACAACTACTACAAAATGACCAGCTTTACGCTGCAGACTGTTCTTTTTTCATGAGCCGGTACTCTCTCTCGTACTCCTTCATGCGCATAATTTGATCTATGGTTTGACATTCGAGGTAGGCGTGGCGAAAGTGCATGCAGAATAGTGGAAAGAAAATGGTGCGTTCGGCCTTGCATTTTCGCCAAGCCATTAGCACAGGGGCGCAGTAGTCCCGTTCCTTTGACGTCAGACCGGCTGCGATCATTTCCTGTTCAGTAACCTGCAAATTGTCGAAAATTCAACAAAATTACAGAAATGACAGATTTAAATAGTGTGGAGTTTGGAACATTTAGAGCCACGATCTGCAATTCTACTAAGTGGTAATTACTTATTATCGAATGCTTGGTAGTCTGGATGAATCTTACAACATTTAGGGCGGGATTTATCAATGCCGGCATGATTTATAGCTCGGAACCTTAAAGAGGTACGATCGATAGGAATAAACGCGGAATAAGCACTATTTAGCAAGCCAAGGACGTCATGTGTGCATTCGGAGTTGGTAAATGGACATGCGAGGAAATAGAAAAAAAACATTTTATCAACATAAGCACTTCAGAGTTGAAGTGGAAGTTACGGTAGCACGTAATATTGGAGAATAGAACGTTCGTTCAAGCAGTTGCACTTATTATCATACCACGAAGCGAATATAGTGGAATTGACGAAGTCCTGAACTACAGCTTCTAATCCTATGTCAGTCAATAAGATCGTAAAAGCCAACGCTTAAACGCACGACTTTTAGGTTAACTGCTACTATTCTAGGAAAGTTTTGTGGGATAATCGCAGGAAGCAAAATGTTTTGCATTACTGAAAAGTGGCAAACAGAAACAGGGGAAACATAATCAAAGTCTGCAACTTAAAATTAAACGGTTCATAAAATTTTGGAGGTTGCCAGAAGGTTCTCCTAAGTAGACTACTTTAGGTCCGCGAATATGCAAGACGAGCGAACTGCGAGACCAAATTGCAAAGTTTAACTCGGAGATAAGGTAGCTAGCCTAGGGTCTTGGCTCAATACTGGCCAAGAAAACGATGACCGACCGGTAAATGTTGCAGTGTATAAGATTTCGTTGGAGGATTCGGGCATGACTAGAGTTGAGGTGGACAGGCTAATCAAATAAGGTAAAAAGAATGAAAGCAAACGAGCAAAGGGCGAATTACTAATGGTGAACGAAGCATTATTTTGAAATCTAGATATGCAGGAGGAGACTTACCACCTCACAAAAAATCAAAATATTCAATGGAATAAAATGCACTGTATGACATCAAATTAAATTACGAGCAGAAATAAACAAAATATCCATGCGCCGTGTACTTACTATAAGTTTGCGCTTTTTGCGACCGTTAGGAAACCCAGCCAAGGGATCACGATCTGATGGCTTTGTTATATTAGGCATGGAACTAGGATCCTTGTAAGTTTGGATTACATGAGATATTTCAGAACCCATCTTAGCAAGCCTTCACCAACAAGAATTTCAATTACGCGGAACTCTTATCACCTTATTTATAACTACCCCATGGATGTATAAATCTAATGTAAAGTTCAACACACATAATGCAAATAAATTCAAAACGTTAACATGATTCTAATCCTACACAAAAAGGAAATATTATTAGGCAGCGAGATTCAAAAATTCGGGATGTCTCCAGTCTTTATTATGACTCTTTTGGTTATAGAATTAAATGCTTCAGCATTTGGCGATTTTTTATTTATCAAGTACAAGTTTTTTTAACAAAAATAGAGATATCTACTTCACCAGGGCCTAAAAAATGAATTTTTTTGGCATTCATTTGCTGGCGATTTACAATTTTCTTAATGTCTGAATAGTAGTTCTTTTTTACACATTCGGATACAAAAATTGCACCATGTAAATTTGGTTCAACTGCTATTTCGTTAGGATTTTTTTAAACTCTATTGCGAGTTTAATCCATATTTAGCTTCCAATGAAATGTTTGAACTCAAAATTAGGAAAGTTGCACCTTTTGTAGGCCCATAATTGGTATGTGCATTCCTGTATATTCTGGCCATTTTGGAGATAATGGTATTTTATATAAAAATTTGTTGTCGAATTTCATGCCCTGTCTGGCTCTAAGATTTCTGGTGTTCTAAATTGCAGCTTAAATTTATTATCTTTTTATAGTGAGATTGCTTTTTTCTTTAATTGTCACGCATATACGAAAATTTTCCACAACTTCTAATTTAACTTGTGAGCAAATGCCATGTAATTATTTAGGCAAACCTGATTTACAAATTGAATGGAGAAGACTGCTCACTGTTATTAGTTTGAAAGGCAAATAATAGACAAAACTGTTGAGAATGGTTTAGTGAATTTCAATTTTTTGTGAGAATCGGTCTTGATAATATGAAATGCGAGTGTGCGTCATATTTATGGTGCACCTGGTTTTTTTTTGCAAAAAATTGTCTTTATGTCAATTATTTATTATGAAAACACTCATTCAAGACGACATGCATGTAATTATTATCATATTAGAATATAGTGCGTAAATACTGCCGACTTAAAGTGGCCCAGTTTTAGACTTAGAAATTTCGGTAAGTGAAATAAAAATTTTAGCCATGAAATGACATGGAACTTCTTACATCCTTTGTGTAATTAGTTTTTGGGATTCATTTATTTAGCGATTTAAAAATCACAATTTAATTATTGTGTAACATTTAAAAGTTTTGAGTGCTGTTTTTAAACATAAATGATTTCATTTACAAAAAATGAATCTGATATAAATATTGAGCGTTTAAATTTAATGTGAGCATTTCGATAACTCTTTTTGTTCGTGTGGAATCCATTGAAAGCAATTATTTTCACATGAAAATGATACTAAAGCCCATACATTTTCTGATTTCGTGGAAAGTGAGCCACAACGAAATATTTGAGTGAGCTACAATAATGAGAATTTGTGAATTTACTGTTTTAGTAATTTCAAAATGTACAAGTCGGAAACTAATAAAGGGATCGATTTTGTTTTTCCACAAGCACTAAACAAGTGCGCACCATTTAAGCGCATTATAATGCGGTGTAGCGACGTCTGAGGGCTCAGACATATTAGACGTCGTAGATTCATTCGCAGTTGCAGTCCGGCTGGCTTTCACTGTCCAAGTCGTCGTCGCTGAGTTGCCAATGCCTCTTCAGATGCAGTAGTCCTAAACCCGGGTAATGTCTATGGATCTAGTTTATTTGACATCGGATGACCGCCATGACAATTGTAGCTGGCATTCAAGGGTCTTTTCCTCTGTTGACCATTAAAGAGAAAGGTCACGCCACGCTGGCCACGCCGCTCATTTTGTACTGCTCCTCGATCGTGTCCTTCTCTGATTGGCTGTTTATCTTCCTCGCATGCCATTGGAACTCAGAGAGACACAGGATTGGCTGAGGCCAGGTGGTCCAACATGTCTGCGCCCTAAACCGACGCCACATCACATCACACATGTACAAGGGTTCCCCGTGTTTAAATCCGCGCAACTTGGTGTCCTCTGTCCATATGCTTTGAAACGTTGTTAATACGACATTTGTGTTGGAAAGTAAAAGTGAGATTGACGGTGGATGTCCACGTATAAGCAGGACCACAGGCAGTGTGTCGATATGATGGTATGAAAGTCAGGCATGTCAGTTCTTTTTGGTCAACAGGAATGTACAGCGAGTTCTCCCGAAATCAAAGGGCATAAAAATAACCCCACTTCAGTAAAAGTTTAATGCAATCTTTGTGGCAGTTTTCTTCTACTGAACATAATGCCACTGGAAGAGGTTACAAGGCTTGCTTGTAGATCTTAATGGATTGTGTAATTGATTAATCCAATTGCTGTCAGGAAGTTCACTCCCAAAATGATATCTCTGTTGTTAGGAGAGGAAAACTTAAAACACAATGCAAATTGACGAGACCAGACTGGCATGGCATTAGCTGAATAAAACTATGTTGTTCCATTACAGAGGCAACATTGATGCTTATGTGGCGTCGGATTAGGGCGCAGACATGTTGGACCACCTGGCCTCAGCCAATCCTGTGTCTCTCTGCGCTCCAATGGCATGCGAGGAAGATAAGCAGCCAACCAGAGAGGGACACGACTGAGGTGTAGTATATAATGAGCGGCGTGGCCAGCGTGGCGGACGTGGACGGAAGACCCCTGACGCGTGGCTCTGGCTTCTGATTGGTCAACAAAACCTGTTCTGTTGTACCAGTCTTTTTCCTATTAGGCCTCGGGTATTCTACACTTAATGGGTACTTCTTCTTCAACTTTAATTTGGAGCAGCCTATTACAGCTCCCCAATGACTTATTCTAACTGGGTGCAATCACACAGAAGCCAATCACAGAGGTGTTTGCGTTTGTACGATGCTAGGAACGTACTTCCGGCAAGTCGAGAGAGCATGACTAGACAAATGAATAGCAAAACGCTCCACAATTTCCCCGCGTCTTCTTCATAATCACCGAGTTCTGTCCCCTGTAGATGTAGAAAAACAAGACGGACCCTCCGCCGACATCACATGCACGTTGTAGGCAAAATCAGACACGTCCCAGGTTAATCGATGCAGAAAACCCTGCAAATGTCGCCTCTCCTTCGAAGGAATGCAACCCGTCTACCAGTCCTGTCACGTGTGTCTTTGTGTCAGCATTTTTTTTAAAAATACCATTCCATCCTTCCATGGTTTCTGCAATCGCGAATGCTCTCGTCATCTATTTTCGTGATTTTACGCCTGCATCGGAATGCATACACATAAATCGGGGCTAATAAACCATAAACCACAAAGGCGTGGAATAAGATTGTATTCATAAGTGATATCTGTATAGATTGAGAGCGAGAGAGGGAGTTGAAGGCCAAAATTACGCTAGTCTTGATGGAAAAGAAGGCCTGCGTTCTCACCGCGGTATCAAGAAGAGGCACATCAACGTGGTGCGTGGCTGCGTGAGGCGAAGATAACAACATTGAGACCGACAAACTTAGCTATCTCCTCTTCTCTTTCTTCTTCTTCCTCCTCCTCCTTCTCCAACTTCTCATTGTCAGAATTTTCAACTTCCTCTTCGCCTGCTAAGGCCGCGTTATCGCTGTCGACAGAGAAAATGGTGTGGAGGAAGAGGTAGGGTAGTGAGGAGGAGGAGGAGAAGAGAAAGAGTAGTGGAGTTCAGATGAAAGACTACAATGAGGTTTGGGGCGAAGACATTCCTCACGTGGGTTGTCGGAAAAGGGGGCATAAGGCGCTTTACACTCTAACAACGGATGTCATCTGAGCACAACCACCTCAAAGGGGCTCGAACCGGGGATTGGGAGAGGCGGAGAAGGAATGGATAGCTTGAGCGTGTGACTCTCCGTGCGTGCGTGTGTTTGTATATGTGTTCAAAGCAACCGAATCATTCACCGACGTCTGTGAATGAAGAGATCGAGTACGGGGCTGGATCGGCGAATGAGCGAGACCACCTCTCTGCAGGTCCGGTTCTTTGTTGAAACATCGTTCACCTGGAAGGCGGAATGTAATTTTTCAAGTATTTATCGACCCCAGTGGCGTGATTCTAATCTTTTCAGCTTGTTTGCTGTCCTATAGGTCCTATTACTTCAACCTCTAGCCGAAAAGCCTTCACAGAAACGACCATCTTATCATGTACAACCACGAAACGAACTTTGCGTATTAAACACTTATGGACCATTTGTCCATAAGTAACGGTCCATGACCCTAATGCTGGCTCGTTTCGCTCCATGTTTTCACCTCATTAAAACATTTTGTTATGAAGTGCCTGCTTCGTTGTGTCTTGTAAACTAGATAACAGACATTTCAGGTACTTACTGGCAAAATTAAATTCAGACTTAATCAAATGAGGTGTCGAAAATATTGGGTGAAAAGAAATTTTCCGACTTTGCTTTGATGCCGAATAAATTGTCTAGGGACATCATTGCAAAACCAAAAAATCGATAAAGTCAAGGCTACCTCGCAATAGTCGTCTCGCGATTGGTCAGTTTTTACTCAATTGGTCATACGTTTTATCACAACCACGAGATCTCATAAAGGTTTACGTGATACGTGAATTAACATCAAGTTAGAGCAACCTTTCAATCGAAATTCGACCTTAATAATTGGCAAATTTTTGGTTTAAATGCTTTTGGTTTCAAAATAGCAACTTCCAAGTCTTGACCGACCGATCTGCCAATCAAATAACGATATTTTGAATTTGTGTTCCAAGGTTTCATGTTTGAAATTAGCCTGGTGTTTAAGTTGTTTAGCATTGAATTCAATTACTACAGCCCAAAAACCCTATGGAATGATATTAATTTAAAGAATCACCCAATTTTGAAATCACAAGTAAACAAATCCGCAGCGTTTGTTTGAATGATTCAAAAGTCAGAAGCCATTCGATCGATTCTTATCTTTGCAGAGGAGTCAGTTTTACAATTGGCTGGCCATGATTATTGGTAAGCCAATTTGGTTAAGGGCCACACGAGCTGTCATTATATGGAGCTTTTAGAGAGTTTTCTGTGCTTCCATTGATCAGACCGTTGCTAGCACTGTGTCCTCGCAAGACAGTTATTTTGGCTGCAAATTAGGAGGCTGGAGAAGAGATAGAGCCATTAATTAGGAGCTTAAATACCACACTTCCAGCGAAACTGACATCACGCTTTGTGCGAAAAAAAGCCATGTCGGCTGACTTAAGCTCAGTTTATGAAAGAAAATAAATTATCGACTTCCATATCTCTTCCAGACGGTAAACTATCCCCCCAAAACCGTCAACGTTTAGCCAAAAGCTCTTAAGGCCAAAAATTTGAGCAAATCGCAAAGCAGGACCAACCTAAGTATCACTTTGATTTAGACCCAACTTAAGTTCTGTTATGCCAGGCCCTCTTGCCGTAGCGATCGACACGTGACCGCTGATGTTTCGTAAAAAGCAGCAACGCCGAACTCACCTTAACAATGCGGTCGTAAATTTGAAGGAGACCAGACGTGTCAGCGATGGACCCGGGTCGAATGGCAGAGACGTAGATCCCTCGTGAATGCATACCCTCAGAGAGACCGATTCCGAATGAGTCACCACAGTTGGGCTTGACCAATCGGATCCAGCCACGCCACGAGTGCACGCGCCCTTCCCGACTGACGGATCGGTGTAGACGGCGTCTGGGCGCTGCCGGTGTGGTGCTTCGGCTCTCAGGGGGATTTGCGGAGGCACGTGACAGCATTTCGGTGCTTCGGTGGTTCCGCTGTTTACTGTCACTAAAGCGAAATTTGTTGTTGGTATTACAGTCAGTGAGGCTGGGGAACTAAGTCGAGCCAAGGCATCTAGTTTGACCGAAGTTTCCTAATTTGCGTGCCTTGTGTAGGTTTTTTGAACAAACACAGAAAGATCACACACAATCGGTCACACGCAACTGCCAGTTAAAGAATGCACGCAAATTCCTCGCATGGCGTAAGGCGACCTAGAAACGGCATTTCACATCAGCCGTCTTGATGTAACCTTGTAGAATTTCCTGCCCAATCAAACGAGTTGAATGTGTTTACCTAAAATGGCAGCTTTGTTTAAATTGGTACAGCATTGTCTGCGATAAAATACCCAGCTAACATTCTTTGTCAGAGCCAAAATGGGCAAATAGCCAAAAAACTCTACGAATAAAGCACATGCCCGCAGATCAGCTCTGCAAGATATCAAAAGTTTACTTTAAAATCTACCAGACCAACATAACCTCTTTTTTGTCCCCGAATTCGTTCTAGGTTTAATGATTTCGCGTGTTGACTGGATGCTAATTCAGTAATAAATCGAAATGCCTAAGCGGTAAACACCCATTCATTCCATGTCGGCAACCTTGAAAGTGATCAAAATGCCTTTCAAGATTTCAAAAGCTAGATTTACTAGCGCTTTTGATGACAAATTTCATTGTTTTCCAAGGTTCTTGGCGTTTAAACATTTCGTCCTGCAATTTTTTAAACAGTAATTGCACTTAAACGTGGCAATTTCATGGCGTTATCGTGAGGGTAATCTAGATTAAGCAACTGGTCAAAATGTGGACCATCGCTTATCCTCGTATCCTTTTTTTGTTACAGATATATTCTCATTAAGACGTTAATCTAACAAGTAGTGCCGATAGATTAACGGAACCTCTATTGAAATGAAGGGTGCTTATTAAAGTGATGTTAATTCAAGTCTTCAGGGATGGCACTCTTGATCGTTTGACGGAACCATCTATGTACAAGCGCTGTTTCTTCTTCAATTGCGACAGCTTGGAAATGAAAAAAAGCATTTCCATCAACGTGGTGTCAGTCACAACGCCTCCCAGTAAACGGTCGCTTTAGTCACAATGCGAGATGTTAGCACCAAACGGCCCAACCATCGCAAATCCATATTCCTGTTAAATCATCGAGTAAATTGATCCATTGCCCTTTAACGATTGATCTTTAAACAGCTGACAAACAATCAGTTAAAAGGGGATTCGCTGTAGGTACCAAACTAATGCGTTTTCTCCGTAAATGCTTGAATATTCTCCGAACTTAACCGTTTAATGAACCACCTTTTTAAGTAGAGGTCAGCTCTGCTTCTATACGACAATTTTGAAACAACTATGCTTCTGCAAAGATGTTAGTTCCATAAGGGATGCGCAGTGCTGCATCGTGTTGTGCAACATCAGCGTGTATAATATGACTGCCAAGGAATGTGGCATTCGAATGTTATTGATTTTTGGTAGGATGAGATAAAGAGATGGGACTTGAACACGGGTCACGACCGAACCATGCGATTACCTCATTAACCAAGGGCTTGTCATAGGAAAAATAACCAGCTTAGTGCTTAAAGCAAATCGCGTTTCAACTCATCGAAATCCAATTGAAATCAGATTGATACTCCTCTGCTGAGTCAATAGTTGCACGTCTTCATTGTTATTGGTCAATTCGCTGGTGCGTCTTTGATAAAGGGAACTACACGACAGTACTGTTGACCTTGACACTGGAATATGATCATCCTATTGATTATGACTAGGGGTAGTCCTCTCATCAAAAAATTGAGAGTTGAATCACTTGGCAACGTAAATTGCAAAAATACTGCCAGACAGGTAAGCAGAATGGCACAATGAGACGAAGACAGCTTAAAAAAAACAAAGAAAAACCAACCACAACTGGCCAGTAATTACAGATACGCGATCCACACTGCCAAAGCTGTGGCAATTAGATTACAGGCGCCAAAATTTGCTTGTCGCTGCCTTCTTATCACGAATCTCACTTTCGGAAAGAGGCTATCGAGGAGAAAAACGCCACTGTGAAACCCCTTAATTTAACTCCAATTGCTCAGAAGTGAAATTTGTTGAAGAGCCACCACCACCACTCCCTCCTTCCTCCACCTCGGTGACTGCCACGTTTCCCCTTGGGTATCGAAGGGCTTGGATGAGCAGTAATTGCCGCTCGTGTCCCTTTTTTCCCCGGCTAAGAGGGGAGCTGAGCCATAAATCCTCCGATGTGATTATCGCCTCAGCACAGACTCGAATTGCTCGTCTTGGGGCGATTGGGGAAGGACAACATCACTCGATTAAAATGCAAAACTGCGTGTGTGCTTCATTTAATCACCTACTGGTGGGGATTGCGCAGTTCAAAAACTCCAACTGGCGGGGAGTTGCAGTTGGTAGGGGATGTCCACATCTTCACTAGGTGCTTTTGTATCATAAATTGAACTTGGTTAGTCACATTACCGAGTTGAAAAATGACTGCGTCAGAAAGGGCCAGTACTGACCTGCTCGGTGTCAAAACAATTTCGACAAAAATGGCAGACGAGCACCCCATGTTAAAACGTCAAATCCATGCTGAAAAAAACGTAAAACGTGCTGCATTCAGCTAACTGAATCAACAATTTAGGGAAAAAAAGCCATCCAACTTCTGGAATACCAAAGTCATCACGGAACATGACAACAAACAATCGATTGACGCTCCTGTTCCACAAGAGTCCTCAATGCCTTCTTCACGAGAAACACACACACCTAAGCGATTAGTGGTCACCAACTGTTGTGGGCCCCTGCATGTAGTCTCAAACCACCTTGGGGACGTTGTGTAGATTTGGCCCTTATGAAATACGGAGGTACCAGAGAAGACACGACGACATCCGTTGCCAGGCAGATCAACGCAGATGCGAATTTCGCACACAGCATTCGTGTT